TTGCCCAACCTGCCTTCCGATGAGTGGCTGGTGGGTTTGAATCGCCAGCCTTCTGGTTAGCAGTCAGGTGCCCTAGGCACTATGCTACCAGAGTTCCCTTTTGTTTTATGTGACCTTGTAAAGGAAGCCACTTTCTAGAGAAGTGTTCTTATTTACTATTATCCATGGTGGAAGTCTTTATGGATGAATGGGGGTTGGAATATGTCAGTGGAAATATTCAATTGCATAGCTAGTGTTAATTCCATTGATTAGAAATACATATGAAATAGACATTAATTATTTGTAACTGTGATTTACAATATGAAAAAATTACAGTGAAAATAATATGACATTCTGCAGAATTTATAGAGGCTTTTAGCCTAGAATTCTTTGAAAAGAAAATAGACCTCCACATGCAAGATGTTACTGTGAATTTTCTTTGACATTTCAATTTATCTAACAAGTAGTATAACTAAGAGCTGTTAACAAATACATTGCATGATAGGAAGATTCTTTCCCTCCAACTAATAACCTATTTTTAAGAAGTGGTACTGTTGGGAGGAGAAATATCGTCTGCCCTTTGATAATGGAGCGGAACAGAAGTCACTACTGTAGAGTCATATCTAACTCATGGCGATCCCACCTTGGGTTTCCAAGGTGGTATCTCTACAGAAGTAGATTGCCCAGTCTTCCTTCCAAGGAGTGGCTGGTGGGTTTGAACTGCCACCCTTCTGGTTAGCGGTCTTTGATAAGTCATTTGAAATTTCTTGAATGTTCCCTCCATTTTTTAAATTAGAGCAATAATAATAGTAATAATATAATAAATAACAGTAATGTGTTTATCTGCCTTCCCAGGGATGTTTTGAGAATTCTAAACTTCATGTTAAGAAGGATGTATTATATTATGATTTTAAGAATTAATAGACTCAGCTACTTCATGTAAATAAAAATGAATTTTACTATAAACTGACTTCCTCCTTTTGTTAATGGGAGAAATATATTTCATTGAAGGTACTGAGTGTGTTCTATTGTTTCGAATTGTTTT